GCCGCTGTGCCGACGCGAGCGGGGGGCGCATACTCGGCGCAGGGGGCAGTCTCGCCTCCAGGCCAGCCAGGCGTCCGTCCAGCATATTCCCAACTGCGATGAGGATTTCTCGCAGTTGGGAGTCAAATGCCCCTGAGTTGGTGATAGGGGCAGGCTGGGACACGGACGGGGCTTCCCGCTCGGGGAGGTTCGCCTGGAAGCGGGCGAACTGAGCACTCAGCTCGTTCACCCGCTCCGTCAGCCTCTCGTTGGCCACCTGCAGGCGAGAGACGTCGCCCGCTAGGCCCTCCACGACCTCCGACAAAGCGGAGGAGGAGTCCTTAAGGGCCCTCACAAACGAGCCCTTAAGGTTCACGGATTTGGTGGCCACCTTGTCGATGACGGCCACCGCCGCTTTCGCCCTCTCCTGCACGGACACGGGAGCCTGGGGGGCATTTCCCCCCACCGGCTCCCGAACCTTGAGCAGGAGATCCGCGATCTCCTCCTCCGCTACGGCCTCGCCGTCCACCCGTACGTTCCTGTACGACTCCGCGTTGGAGAACGCGGAGCCTGACGGGATCGCGACCGAGGCCGGTTTGCGCGCCCTCCCTCGGCGGCTGCTTGCCACCTTTGGTGGCATCATTTCGCCGGACGTGTCGGATTCCACGTCCCCTGAGCGTCCGCGTTTCCGGCTGTCGCTCCGCTCCGCTTCCATGGCCTCCGCGCCATCCGATGAAGCGGCGGATCCGGAACGCAGCCGATCCGATGCTCTTCGGCTCCCAGAGACCAGCGTCAGACTGACTTCTGGGAGCCCCATCGAGATAGGCGTTCCTGACACCATCTCACCCTCAGTGGACGACCCATCCGCTCCACTGTTCCTCTTCCCCCTTGCAATCTTCGTTTCAGTGTCCGTTTTGCTCGCCTGTTTTTGTTTGTTTTCCATTTGTGTCCGTTTCTTTGTATTTTTTTCAGTATTCATATTCATAAATAGTCCCACGAGTGGGGGAGAACTAAAAGGTCCACCCGGGCAGAGATCCCCCATTACCCGGGCAAGCGTAAGTTTTTAACCCAACCGAGGGGTCCGCAGGTACCTCGGCTTGGAGTGCGCTCGCGACTGAACTTCCCATCAGCCATGCATCCCCTGGCCACGCACCAGAACACGGGATTCGGGGAATTTTTTAGAGAGGTTATCTTCCTCGCGGTCCGGGCGGTTAAGCCAAGACCCTCGCCCCCGATCAGAGCCGCGAGACTTAACCACAGCGCTCTTCTCGGGATTACGATATGCCGACGGTTGACAGGGAGACTACGTCCCCCTGCCTGCTCGGTGGTAGTGTGAGTACACGCCGAGCCCGTCCTCCTTTCTCCACCGCTATCAGCGGAGAAACTGTGGCCCCTACAGGGCCCCGCCATCAGGTTTTTTACCGAGGTTTCCTCCTCCATGCTCCGAAGAGCGAAGAGCCAGCAGGGCAACCGGCAGACACGCCCACCCTGCTGGACCAGGCCTTGCCCGAGAGCCGATGAACGGCTGCCTCTTCTGCTAGAATATTGGCCGCTGGCGATAATCCTCTCCTCCAAGAGGACAAGGAGGGAACAGTACCATCGCCAGCGTTTCCAGGGTGCACCACGAGGAGGTTTTCTAGCCCAGCACCCCAACTTGAAACAAACCCTAAACCAACCCGTCTGGCCCGCGTGGTATAGTAGGCCAAAACCTCCTTTCTAAGGAGAGGCCTATGTCCAGCAGTGGAATAGTATAGGCTGTTGATGTGATGTGATGATGTGAGTAAATTAAGACCCAAATCGGTCCAGCTGTTTCGAGATTACCCGAAGCAAACAATTGTAGATTATCACTTGCACAGATAATGTTGTTTTGATTTTTATTGTATTGTTTTCCTTACTTCTAAATTCGATATCAAATAATTGTATATTTATTATTATAATTGCATTTTTCATAAAAAATTGTGTGTTTTATTAAATTTTTAAACCAGGACGTTCTTATTGGTAGACCCCATATGATGGACGTATAAAACAGAACAATAAGAAAAATGTGTGAAAATGAAACCCTTGGCGGTATTTTTTTATGTTTTTTCATAGTTGTTATCTCTATTTATTTTCTATCGACCACGTCTTATTCGCAATGGCTGTAGCGGACCCTTTTTTTTTCTTTTTTTTTTTTGTTAAAGGTGGAAAATCCCTTCAGATCTCCTACTCCTCGGGGACTCAGGAGCCAAGAGTATGTGGTGATTCCACTAAAAACCACCCCGACGGCCGGCCTTAAGTGTCCTACTCTGGGGAGGACCCGGACCATGTTATTTCAGGTCTTCCCCTAATTGACACCATGCCTAATCAGTCCCTATCCCAGGGGAGAACACTTCCCCCTTAAATCGCATCTTAATGCAATCAGGCCGGCCATTCCATCCCTTACCGCAGCAATCAATCTGCCACCAGAGGTCCACCCCACTCTCTGGCGGCCCGCGGCCCCGTCGACGGCTGATATCGGCGCCGACGTCCTCTACGTTCGGGATCGGCCCTCTCTCGATCCCGTTCAGCCATCTCTTTCTGGAGTATAACAGCTTCACAGAAAGAGACCACTGCGCCCCAGCCCTAATCACCCGCCAGCATGGCAGCAATGATTGCTGGCGGGGACAGGTCTCGTACGATTTGGTCGACCAGGACCTCGCGTTCAGATGCCCACGCGGGGCAGTCCTCCAGCGTATGCTGGGCGGAGTCCCAGTTGGCTGTGCAGTGCTGGCATTGTGCCGTCTTCTCGCGTCTAATCCGATTCAGGTACTCCCCGAAGCAACCATGCCCAGTGAGTACCTGCGTCAGTCGGTAGGTGACGGTTTCATATTTAAATATTCCAACTTGTTTGTCAATTATATTTGTGTTAGTAGATAAATACTTTGTATTAATTTAATTGTTATTAAATATAATATAATATTGTGTAAATTTTGATATTACAAACAACATTGTTAAATATTATTTTTATAGTTGTCGAACAAACACGGTTACACACTCTGTAATATATATCGCATCGAGTACTACGTCACAGCAGCCGGCGAGGAATACACATTCCATTCCTTCGGCTTCCGCCGCTAGCCAGTCATGAATTGCACTCGATACATTTCGCCTTTTTGTAAATTGTTATTGTTTCGTATATTTTCTATAATCTAGTATAAAAAATACCAATCACCTTCTGCACCTATTCTATATATGTTCGTTCGTACTGTTTCTTATGTGAATTGTTACTGTGTAATATCTGTGTAGTGTTAAATATATCAGTATTTCTTTGACTTTTACTTTCATTTAACTCCTTAACTAAGTTACCACTCAGTTAGCTACACGCGCGATCCTATAAAGGCATCATTTAAAAAGACATTAAACCAAGGTCACATTTAATGAGCTATGCAGACTATTAATTTTAATCGTTTACCTCAATACACAGAAAAATAGTTAAGTACTAAGAACTAGATGCTTCCTTCTTTTTATTTTCCTTTTTTAGCGATTTCCTAAAGCAATTTGAACATGAATTGGCTTATACACTATAGAAAAAAAATGAGCACAGTAACATGCTATGTAAGTTAAAGATTGTACAGGTGACAAATCGTCAATATTTTTCTACATAAGTATGTATAATGTTATCATAGCGATTATGTCGAAGTCGTACTGAACTATAAACGTGTTTTCAGACGATATTGACCTTTTTAGTCCTAGTAGATACTTTGGTCGTGAATTCTTTTTATTAGTCTCAAGTAATAATATTATAAGAACTGCTATTATTTATTAAAGAAAATGGGTTATACTTAAGTTAGTATTTCGGACATTACTGAGTAGCCGCGGACTTAAAAGAGTCCTTGTATTATTTATAACATAAATATAGTGGTATTAGAGTCAGTTCTGACATTGAAAGCTATGACAGTTTATCCAGGATGTCCGTTTTGAATATTAAAAGTGTTAATTTAAAGAAAATTACAGGTGTGGCAATGCAAGTCATGAAAATAATTATCGCCTATGTTATCATCATCAATCACATCAACAGCCTTTAATAGTCCACTGCTGGACATAGGCCTCTCCTTAGAAAGGAGGTTTTGGCCTGCTATACCACGCCGGCCAGACGGATTGGTATAGGGTTTGTGTCACGTTTTCCTTCTTTTTGCAGTGCTGGTGTCCTGCGTTGTTTTGCGCCCTTAGTCGGCTCGTACGACACCCACGGGATGAATTGGGGTAGTGACATATTTATCTTATATCCGTATTCTTAATCCGTCACTACACGGACGGATATATTAATTTGTTTTAAAAAATATACAATATTATTGTTCACAAAAATTCTTAGTAAATCTTGAGTCTAAACGTGCCGAGTTAAAAGATTATCAGGCAACCATGCCAAATAAAATAATTATCAGGTAGGTATTTTGTATTTAAATATATTTTCATAAAATTTTGAGATGCTGACCGCTTTGTGGTGATTCTTCAAAATGTATACGATCGTGCTATTCCGGGTCAGACTAATGAACACAGAAACGGAATATACTCTTTGTAGCTAGTAGTTTGTAGGATAATATTTGTAAAATGTGGGAGTATGATACATTTCTGCCTAATTCTTAAAGTGTAAACCGCGACAACATAAATCTAAAACAATTTATATAATCAAGTTACTTTAAAAATAAATATGAAATGATAAACTTAAGTATTAGAGTACGTCGTAGAAAAAACTCACCATTAATTCATTAGGTGCCATGTAAATAATACATCTTATATAAAAAATAAATATTTAATATAAAAAAATTAATAAAATGATATTTTATTGTTATACTAGCTATGCAAGCTTGTAGGTACTGTTTAGTCTGTAATATTTCTATTATTTAAAAGAACGCACGGTCAAGATTGCAATGTCATGGAATAAATACATTAGCAGTCTCGTCGTTTTATTTTTCTGTGAACTTATCTGAGGTTAGGTTCTGTCTTATTTTTGTTTTGAAAATCTTTTTAGTAAGAATCCAACTTTAGAACGATAAAAAACTTACTTGGTTTTAACGATTTATCATCATTTACAGACACTTCATCAGCTTTACCCATTTTTTAATTAATTCACAGTATTTTAATGTCCAGAAATGTATTTAACAAAAATACGAAATGATTTTAAATATTCTTTGAACGGTGCGCGATGTCGCGCGTACTGCGCGCGCTATTCTTGTCGGTAAACTCAACCGTGTGTTTTTTCTTCAGAGCCGAAGGCTTCATTATTAGCTGCAGGGACAACTGTTACGCAACTGTAACGCATTATCGGTAAAATACAATTAGTTCTTATTTCAACAGTATTGATTTAGAATTGTGTACAATTTATGTGTTTTATTTTCTATTGATACATACATTATTATTTATAACTCTAATTTCTGTATACCTATCACCAGTTCAAAATGAATCTTTGTACATTACATCTGTTGTTCATTTAATTACTTTATAATGTCTTTAAAGCCTTTAAAACCAAATAAAGTATTATCTATCTTACTATCAATTTTTTTTTTATGCATAAACACGAATTGTACAATGGCGGACTTAACTGATTTATGTCCTAGTAACACTTCTAGTTGTCATGACGATAAGTGACCCTGGGTTCTTCCCACTACTGCAACAAACAGCCACAGGTCACCTACCATCAGGTGATCTGTCTACTCATTTGCCCCCTTTCCTCCCTAAGCCATACAAATAGCATGTGATTTCTTTTTACGTGGATAAATTCTGTAAAAGCTTAATACCAAGAAAATATTTTTCCATTCAACGCTAGCTAATACAAAAACATTTTTCTGTTTCTTTGAAACAAAAGGAACAGTCACAAACAACAATCCTTTACGTTATTAGATTACGCCTGATCTTTTCCTTTTTGAACAAAAAGATTACAACATTTATTTGGGATTTTCTGGTAATCCTCAATTGAAGCCTTTAGCCAGAAGTATGTGTATGTGTGTAATGTGGTCTCTGCAACATATATTATTATGGTTATAGTCCATCTAAGCTTAGAGGTACCGTTTGACAGTTCTGATATATTGAAGAATAAGGGAGAGGAGAGGCAAAGTAATCGATTACTACAATTTTCGCGTCTTAAGAGATATCGATATTATTTCTTTGTTTTTACAAATCGATTACAGGCTTTAACAGTAACATACATAAGTCTGTAAAACTGTAATCGATTTGTATAAACGATATATCTTAGGTTTTACTGGTAAATATAAATATGAGTTATTTTTATTACTTGAATGTTTATTTTTCTCAGCTCAAGGCTGATTTTAAATGTATTGGCAAAAACCAAGTAAATACTGTGAGATGTGTTATAGTTATGTCGATGGTTGTTGCTGTGTGTGTTGTGCTGTTTCGTATTCTTCGATATCCATGAACTTTCTTACTATTCTGCATGTTTTTATTATTGCTGCTTTCTCACGGAATCATTTAAATCTATTAATTTATGGCTATGGTGAAGGTGTTTAGGTATAACTCCTGTTGTAGATAGAACTATGGGTACTATGTAATATTTCTCCTGTCTCCAGATTCGAATTATTTCTTCTTTGAGTTCTGTATATTTGCTTATTTTTTCTTTAATGGTTTTCTGTCTACTCTTTTTTTTCTGTCTTAAATTTCTACAACGTGGACTCCATTCATGCATCAAGAGTTTAAAAAATTAGACATTTTTCCTTCTGCTGAGACAGTAAAAAAATTTAGAAAATTTAAGAATATTCGTGTTGTAATTGATTATTTTGAATGGAATATGCAAAGGGCAAAAAATTTCAATCAACGAGGGTGCACCTAATCTACTAGTTACAAATCACACAACACTGACAAAATTTACGTAGGAATTATGGTTTTCTGTAGATTGTATGTATTTGAGACTACAGTATCTAACTTGTAGGTGGTTTTAATAATTTTGTCAAGTAAATTTATGTGTAGTCTGTTATAGTGGATGCTTCTATCTGTGAGGATGACACGATCATAGTACAGTTTGTGTGAGCTATTTTCTAATACAGAATGAGGAGTATAATTGTAGTAAGGTGTGGTGACGGATTATGAATACAGAGTGTCACCCACACACAGTGTATTAATCCGTAAGGTGACGTAAGAACCGACTAAGGGAGTAAACTACGCAGGAGAAGGAAAACTTGGAACAAACCGTATACCAACCCGTCTGGCTAGCGTGGTATGGTAGGCCAAACCCTCCTTTCTAACGAGAGGCCTATGTCCAGCAGTGGACTAGTAAAGGCTGTTGATCAAGGTGTGGTTTTAATATTAATAGTAATCTACACAAATTTAGATCCGTAAAAACAAATGGACATCTACAAAAACAATAGAACACGCTTAAGAAAAGACAAATAAATAACAGAAGGTGTACTTTCAGGAACATGTGACTGACAAAATTGAACATAATAACTGGTAAAATAGGTCGAAAATATACCTTGTTCCTATTTTTATGGTAAGCAACTTAGATATACAACAAAAATAGAAGCAAGATAAAATTTAATTTTATGTCTAGGCAGGCAATGTTAAGAATGAAACTCAAGAAAATTGTTATTTGTTATTTCATTCTATAAGTGTATTATTGTTTAAGATATGTTGGTAAAGATTGCTATGTCTAGGTATAATATTTTAAAATAACTTACGATAGTTGTTTAAAATATTACACCAAGACTTTGACGGCTATCCATTAATAGCAAGAAACAATAGGATGTAATCATACTATGTCTGTCATTCTATTGTACTCTATACTAAGGTTTCCTAAATTATCTTTTTATATCCCGTCTTGCTATTTTTTTTACAATACAGCGATTTCAATAAATTGTACAAGGAGTACTCTTTTGATCAATTTAATACCAAAAGCAAGTATGCTAAACTTTAATTTTTTTCAATCGTGACATTTTTGGATTCATTATTATTTATTGTCGTGTTAGTCAGTGTTCCAGAACCTCTGATAAATTACAATAATTCAATTAGTAAAAACCTGTAATTGGTCCAATGTTGTACATCAACCTCACTATTATCATTTTTGTAGCTGTTGGTTTTCCTAACTGAAGTTAATAACACTGCGAAAAATCATGTTTTATTTCGAGTACAATTATGAAAGTGAAAAAGATTTCCACTTTTTAACTTTTAGCTTTATTATCAGATCACTTTTATCATTCCTATTCTTGTGGGCTCTTAAAAACAAATCATATGAGGACAACTTCCATAAGCTTACTTGCACACGCTGTAAAGTTCCAACTCAAAACTTTTCACTAAGTCACCTTAAACAAACAAATTTAATCAAAATTAGTCCATGTGTTGAGGAAATATGTATATTGCAATAGACAGACACACTACCCGCAGATTTCTTAAGTGACACAGTAGGATTATATTGTAGTAGTACTACCATACACTGTCCCGCACGTGCACTATTAGTCTCAGATTTTACATTAATTCTGCGCTATTTTCATAACAGAAAAAAGACCTGGAAGATTTATTGTTATCAATAATGTGGGTGTAATCACCAAATACTCTGCTACTGCTACTAAACAAAGAGATATATTTATCAAGCATTTATGCATAAGTGAGAGCTGGCCGTTTATTTTAAATGACAGACGTAATCGATAAGGTAAGGGATTTTGGAGACCTGTATGCAAAAAAAACTTATCTAACAGTTTAACAATGTGCCGTTATAATTGTTCAAAGACGTATTTAAATCTGTGACGTCAGACTACTTATACCTGTTACGTCAAAACCTGTTAGGTTGAGTATGGTTAACGATAATGTATAGTAACGATAAGAATTGAACATAACTATGATAATGATGGGTAAAATTCTAAAAATTAAGATTTGTACATAACACACATAATTGACTTCAGTTGCTCAAAATATATTTTATATTGATGCATAATATCTGAAGCGAGTAGAGCAATCCAAAAATGAAAAGAAGATAGAGATGCAACTGTTTCCAACATTCCAGGAGGAGCTAACGGACAATCATACAAGCAAAGAGATCATCATGGCATATACATGACAAATACTCGAACTACCAAAGAACACAGCCTCAGTGATGGAAACCAGTGAAAGTAAGGGAGAAGAGGATCGCGAGGAAGTTACATTCGGATTACGAAGACAACTTCAATGTCGTTCATGATGCAACCACAGTGAAGAATTCTGTAGATAGAGAGGCGTCAGATTACGGATACGATGAGCCGCTGTAGTGTTCCAATAAGCGGTCTTATCACAGGCCGTAGACAACATGTGAATAGACATTCATATCAAAATTAGAATTACGATACATTACAATTAGAATTATTTATAGCGAATGTTTCATTATATTCGCTATAAATAATTCTTCAGCTAGTTTGAAGTATTTCCGTATATAGCTGTACGCTATAGCTATAACAGGAAGCTGTCATTGTTCACTTTTCTGGGCCGGTGCGTTTTCCGTGAATCACTGAGATGGAACATTGCTATCGTTTTAATTAGCCTTTTTCCCGTACGTCTTATTACTTTAAGAATAAATAAAAATTGTGATCAAAAAAATTAGCATGCCTACAAAACATTGTGCATTCGCTAATTTTACGTCTGATAGTCTTTACAAGCAGGATGGTTTAAGATTCGTGGCTTTTATGAAACCACAAGTTAACAGAAAAAGTGTTTGGATTGGATTTACTTTTCACGAAGAGCAGATTTAACGGTTGAAAAAAAAACATACTTAAATTTGTACAAAACAAAAATTCTAATGAACCAACAGCAGAAAATCCTAATCCATTACCAGCGACAGTTGCAAAGGTTAGTAATTGTAATTGGTTAGTAATTGTTTAGTTAATAAGGTTATATTTTATATTTGTCTACATGTTATCAATGTTAATGGTAAATAATCAAATTTAATTTCTCTTTATTTGAGCATGAGATATGAAATTTTGTGGTTTATATTCTTGAATATGTTTTTCAGATTCCTAAAGACCATAAAAGACAGCAATGATGTATTGATGAGGACTCAAGCACTGAGAAAACGTCAAAAACTTACCTGTTTCACTGCTACTGATGATAAATCACTCACTGGACAAATTGGTCATAAAAATGCTAATAGTCATCAAGAAATTCAATTAAATATCGATTTAACTTCTGAGCTCGAGAATTACAATAATTTTGTAGATCCAAATAGTGCAGAGCTCGTTGTTGAACCACTTATGCAAATAGTTATAACAAGTGATGCTAAAAGTCAAACAGAAGAAGATACGGAAATTAAACAATTAAAAAAGTGCATTGAATGCCTAGAGAAAAAATTTGAGAGTGTAGCCTTCGATGTCGACTCATGACAGAATAATGTCAAAAAAATTAAATATTACACTGGTTTAAAACCAGAAGATTTTAATACTTTATGGGTATTTCTGGGACCTCCTGCTGCTGAATCATTAAGTAAGTGGCTTACTACTAAACCTAAAACGAATCGTGTATCGTCACGAACACAAACAAAACTTTCATTAAAAAATCAGTTTTTCTAACGTTAGTTCTATTACATTCTGGGTTGCTGATATAAGGTATCGGTTTAATGTTAGCATTGGACATCTCTCTAAAATTTTTACAACGTGGATTCAATTCATGCATCTAGAGTTGAAAAAATACACATTTTTCCTTCTGCTGAGACAGTAAGAAAAAATCTTCCTAAAGTATTTGGAAAATGTAAGGATATTCGTGTTATAATTGATCATTTTGAATGGAATAAGCAAAAGTTTAAAATTTTCAATCAACAAGGGAACACTTATTCAAGTTACAAATTACACAACACTGTCAAATTTTTGGTAGGAATTATCCCAACTGGAGGGTGCTGCTTTCTACCTGATGGTTTCGAGGGTCCTTTTACTGAAACGGAAATAACAATAAAAAGTAGACTTTTTAATTAAATAAAACAAGGAGATTTAATAATGGCAGGTCGGGGATTTAATCTGGAATAATTGTGTAATAAACACAAGTGTTCATTAATAATTCCACCTTTTTTTCCGTAGGTGGTTCACTAAAGTAGAGATAAGAACAGATAGAGAAATAGCTGCCGCTCTAATTCATGTCGAAAGATACATAGGACGTATGAAGGAGTTTCGTATAATGTAACGAGCAATTTCTAAAAATGTGTTTCCTATTATATCTAAAATTACTTTTGTAATTGCCATGCTTATTAATTTGCAAGAACCGTTAGTCATGTAAATGATTTAACCAAAATATTAATTTAAGAATATTTTTTCCTGTAATATTTTGTCACAACAAAAATGAAATTATAGCGAAAAAAATTATAGCGATAAAAACTCGTAATATAAAATCTAAACCTCCAAAAATATAATGGTACATGCATAAAGTTACTAACAACGAACGAACATAAATATATCAAGCTTTTCAGTTGTTGGAAAGTTTTCTATATAAAGAGTATGAATAAATAGTAATAGTAACAGTAATTGTAAAAATAATTAAGAAATGAATGTCTTCATCATCCTTTAATAAAATTAAGTAAGTAATAAGTGATAAATTTCTTGGCAGTCGCATTTCGAAAAGATCACGAGGTAAAATTTTATGCACTTTGAGTACCTTTTGTATTAAAGCTTGAATGAAGATTTCATCTCGATTTATACGTTCAGTAGCAAAACTATGAGTCCAGACCAAATTATAAAATCACAGTACTCTAATTCTAGTATTGCGAGTGTCAGTTGAATTTGAAAATAACATCTGTGGTTTCTCTTGAAGTGAATTTGATTGTTTTTAAAATTGTAATATAAATTATTTGAGTTTACTTTATCTAGATTAAACTGTGAATAGTCTTTCAACTTGTGGACATTTAATTTCAATGCATGGTGCATGAACATTCAAAGATCAAACCATCTGTACTACATCCTTGCTTCTTTTTTTGTTGCCTGTGTGGAAAATCCCTTCGGATCTCCGGCTCCTTGGGCGCCCTACTACAGGACCCGGACCATGTTATTTCAGGTCCCCCCCAGATCGACGCCGCGCCCAGTAAAGCCCTATCCCGGGGAAGCTGGCTAGGCTTCCCCTGCCTATCGGCCCAATCGTTATAATATGTTGCGGCCCGATCGCATTTATGCGACCAGGCCGCCACCCTATCGCCTAACGCAGCAGTTAAAGTGCCACCAGAGGTCCCCTACCTCTGGCAGCCTGAAAATAATTTGTTTACGAAGAGACCACACTGTTTAACAATCAAATTATTATTCATTTCAACATCAATAATCGCATCAATTTGATTTTCGCGGCCAGCAATGGACTATTAAAGGCTGTTGATGTGTAATGTTGTGATGATGATTTAAGTATTTACAAATATAAGTGTGATTGTATGTACCAACCTAAACCCACGGACACTTGTAATTTAAGAGTCACAAGTGCATTGACGACCTTTGAGTTAAACCCGTCCGTCAGAATTATAGAGGAGGTTGGGCTCCGTCTTATTTACTTGGAGAAAAGTAACAAAAGAATTACTTGACACCGGTTTTCTGTGAGGCTTTGGTATCACTCCGGTCGAATCTGTCTATTTTTGTCACAGCATGACTCTCCTATAGTCATAAGATATGTCCGTACTGTAATTAAAGAGATCCCGAGGACAGACATGAACTGGCCATCTCTAAGAAAAGAAAAAAAACTGTATCTGTCAGCGCACGAGCAACGAGCAGCGGCGGGGGAGAAGAGGACAGCAGCCCTTCTGGACAGAATCTGTAATACTAAAAATAATCAAAACAATACATTTTAGTAGACATCTCACAGTAATTAATTATAAAGTTTATGCTATTTATACAAAAGCGTACAATTACATTTGAGTCGGCAATAAACTTAAAATGATTATTTTATTGTATAAAGTATTGCTATTAATAGTAAAACTACAACAATAAATATCATTTGATACAGTATTAATTACAGAACTTTATATCTGCTTTAGAGATTTCAATAAATCACGGTATTGAATTCTAAATAAGATATGGTTCATTGATATTTCTTGTGAAATAATTTACTCTCAAAAACAATAACCAACGCGTGCGTGGCAGTTGAATTTTGACCACTTTCAATGTCTCATTTTATTTCATTGACAGTTCCACCATGTATAGTACGAAATTTCAAGTTACGCGTTATTGTTGTCACGTCAAAAATGATAAACTGGACTCATTTCATGCAGCTGTTTTTACGTAAGTTTAAGCTTCTTCCCCATTTTTCTTGTGTCATCTACACATTATCGTCTTCACGTATTATTAAAATTGCTATTGCTCGCAGAAAGATGGCCGATGGAGCCAAATAAGTTCTGGAATGGCGACCACGTACCGGATGACGGAGCATGGGTAGGCCCCTTACAAAGCGGTCTGACGACCTGATGAAGATCCTATGTCCAGCAGTGGATGTCTTTCCGCTAAAATGATGGTAAATATTTCTATTTTTATTGCTGATCCACTAAAGTTTTTTGAAAGGGTTTAAATTCTGTATTTTAATTAATGCGACTGGACTTAGATTTTACCGTCCAAGACCTTGCGGCAACTCTCTCTATAATCCCTCGCGCTATTCATTTTCCTTAGCACAATTTACCCTTTTTCCATGTCTTGTCTATAAATTATCACATATTCAACGATGGTTTATATTAGTCGGTAGGTGCAAGGTCTGGTGAGTATGGCAGATGAGGGAGAGCTTCCAACCCCAGCTCTTGCAGCTTGGAGACTGTCTGTTGCGCAGTATGGGGTCGCGCATTGTCGTGAAGGAGCAGTGGGGACGACCGATTCACCAAAGCTGGTTGCAGATGTGACCACCAGACCTTGCACCTACCGACTATTACTTTTTCCAAAATTTATACAACTTTTTAGTGGGTAAAAAATTTAATTCCCGAGGGGCAGTACAAAATGCCTTTGAAGAGTTTGTTGCCTCCCGTCCAGCTGATTTTTACAAGAAGGGCATCAATAAACTGCCAATGCGTTGGCAAAGATGCGTCGATTGCATGGGTGATTACTTCGAATACCAGAAATAAAAAAGTTTGAAAAAATTAGTACTTTCACTTATTGCATACAAAACGGCAATTTTATAGGTAAATACCTATTATTAAACTGGTGTCGGTTCATAATATTAACTAGCCTAAACAGAAAAACAAAGTCATAAAGATCCGGTAAGAGAGGCAAATGACGTTAGTGATTTGGCATCGAAGAAGATTAAAATAGCTAAATTAGAGATGGCCGGCCGTATAGTACATAGATAGCGTGATTGTTCTAAATCTAAAAACATTGCCTAATACCGACAGCTAATCACGAGAAACGAAACTGATACATGAATTGATTCCAAGGTAAAAAACTGATAATATGCGTTTATCTCTGCTACTACATGTATTGTTTATCATGGAAGTATAATCCATCATAGTAAGTTGCCTCCGAAGTCAAGAATATGGTCAACTTCACGATTACGATCAATAACAAGCTTAAATAATGATATTGATAAGGCAGTGATTAGATTGAAATGTGAATGCACTTAGGCAATTCAATTATTTTGCCAAGATAAGACTTGAAATGAAAATCTGTTCCTTGAGTGCTCATAGTATTACATCGGACATAACGGTTTTATTTACATGCATCTTTCAAGGTGTTAAGAATTGAGAAGTTTTAATTACAGTATGGAGACTGACTGATGAAAATTACTTACCTAAAAGAAATGGTTCTATTTGATTATTACACATTAAATCAAATTATTCAAAGATTTTTTTATGGTATTAGGGGGCAAACGAGCAGACGGGTCACCTAATGGTAAGCAACTACCACCGCCCATGGACACCTGCAACTCAAAAGTCATAAGTGCGTTGCTGCCCTTGGAGGACCTCCCGCTCGAATTTGGGCTCCTCACCTCCTAACCACCACCTAACCTAACCTTTTTTTTTTTTTTTTTTTTTTACGTGTGGAAATCCCCTCGGACCGTCACCCCTCCGGGGTTTGCGGCGGGGTGGTGTGTCGGACTCGGACCGACTAAAACCACACGGTGTGCCACTCTGCGCCTGTAACAGGAGGGATCCGGGAACAGCTGTTGTTAAGACATCCGGACCCCTCCTAGCGCCAGCCCGCTCCTGGTGCGGGCTCCGTCTCGATGTGGATGTTCCTCTCTTTAGGCGACGTCCGGCACACGCGGACGCCGCCCCCTCGCGGCTGGCCAACTAATGCGGGTGGAGGGGAAACCCACCCCGTCCACCCGCGGCCACACTCAGGGCGGCATGAGGCTGTGGTAGGCGGGCCTCCGCCGCCCGGTTCGCCGGCGGCGGATCGGGTCCGAGTGGAGGTCGTCCTCCCGGGCCCTCTCCGCCGCCTCCTTC